TTTTGTGACTTTATTTAACCCTTTACCTCTATCTGCTATTAATTTTGTGACTTTATTCAACCCTTTGCCTTTATCTGCTAGTAATGTATGACTTTATTCAACCCTTTACCTTTATCTGCTGTTAGTTTTGTGATTTTATTGAACCCTGTACCTTTATCTACAGGTAATGTATGACTTTATTGAACCCTGTACCTTTATCTACTAGTAATGTATGACTTTATTGAAACATGTACCTTTATCTACTAGTAATGTATGACTTTATTGAACCCTTTACCTTTATCTACTAGTAATGTATGACTTTATTGAACCCTTTACCTTTATCTACTAGTAATGTATGACTTTTCAGACCTTTTCTTAGTTTCTTAGAACTGTATATTGATGTTTCCAATGTACTGAATATTCAGTTGTTCTGCGGTTGTTTGTAAGTAGGCTATGTTCTAACATCTTGTTTTATTCGAGTGAACAACAAGGATATTATGCTAACAGAGGAGCGATAAACAACCTCTCCATTACCTCTTTACTTTCAAGCATCTCAAGCTTTAACCGACATTCCATCAAATCGTAAAGTACGTCCTACACTATATTTTTACTGCTTTTACTTCACTCACACGTGACTCAGCGTAGTTGAACAACCACTCAAAATATTTCATGAACCTTTATATTACGTAGTTGATAGACTCTTTTTGTTATTAAAACTAACCAAACCAGTTTTTACAAGTTTGCCACACTAACAACAGTTATTATAGCAAGAGAAAACATTAGGCTATTATTTATGACCACTAAGCCTACTTATACATGATATCTGAAAGTAAATATTACACATTTAAAATGGACGTCAGATAATGTGGATTTTGTGTGTGTTTTACTAAATATAGTCACGACGTCTTTTCCCCATAATCGACAACCTTAAACCGATAATTGCAAAATGTTGGATGGATAGTTTTAGATACTTTTGTTGGAACAACCAGACTGTTAGTTTACAAGTTCACATGTACAATATATATAATATAATAAACACTGAAGACCTTAAAAACAAATAACCTAAAAACTGGTTACATACATATCACATAAGTAACTAATCTAAAGGCGGAAATTTCACAATAATTTTGATTCTTAATAAACCATCGACACTACTGGTTTCAGTTCTTTTTTAATTCCCAGTTTTCTTTTCCCACGTATATTCTAGTATAACCTGTGATTTCAGTCTATTAAACAAATTACATACCACTGTTTCTTTCATTGTTTTAATCTACGTATTTTGTTGTTGTTGTTTTTTTTTGTATCTCGCACAAATAACTGTATGTGATACTTTTGCCTAAAATAATAATAAAACTACATTATATTAATTTAAAATTCTTTTTTTTACACGAGTAAAAATACGACTTATAATACTATTCACACATTCTTCTTAAAATAGTTGAATGTAACTTTAATTAAGGTTCATTTGCAACAGAACTAAAGTACATATGCCATTTGTAATACGGACACAATTCATATATTCGTTTTAACCATGATGGACAAGGTAGTACATCATACATACGTCTCCACTGTATATCCGCGTCAATGTTTTTTCGGACAGATATTTCTGTATCGTTTTCTACAAGCTTTTTGGTAATTGAAGACAACATTCATTCAAAATGGTATTTTCTTTCTTTCTCTACGAGGTTTTAGTGCCCTGTTTTGTTACTAGTGGTTCTATAATAGTCATATTACATCGTTCATTGTTAGCTACATTTTTACTGTAACTGTATTAACGATGTGTTTAAAATGTATTGTTATCACAGTCACTGACCGGTTCAAATGTTCTTCGTTTTCATCATTCTGTAAACGTGGCTGTAAGATTAACCTAATATTTTTTTCCATCTACTTCTTTACAATGGCTGACACTGTTATTTATCAAACATGAAAAATAATAAAACAGATATCCTGTGTTATCTGGTATATAAGAATTCAAGAAAATAGCTTCATTAAGAAGTGCTTTAACAAAATATTTTAATATTTTTCATGCATAACTATAAAATATTCCTAACTTTTCTCGTGGCTCCATATGGTCCATCAAAAGAACTGTAAGGAAACCCTAACACTGACATACTCGTTTAAAAATAGCTTCAATTGTAATTCGAGTGGACGAATAGGTTGATTTATGTAATACATGTTCGAATTATCGAATCCTAAAATTGGTTAACTTATCATTCAGAGATTTAGTAGTTAAACCAACTTCTTCGAAATTTAAAGATAGGGTGTTTCTATTTATCCAAAGAACTTTTCTCCAAACAAATTTTATAAAAGCATTTTGGAAATTATCTACAAAATTATTAGGAGGTTCATATACTACTACTGATAATCTGATTAAGGATTAATATTTTCCTTTTTAATTATAAAAAAGGGTTGAAACGTTTCTCTTTCACCTCATCTTTGGATCCATTATAAAGAATTTCCTAAGTAAACTTCAAATACTTTTACTTCGAAATTCGACCATGTATACGT